AGGGGCCTTGGCCCCCGACCCAGGTTCATCCCCGCAGCGGCTCCAGGGCTGCCCCAGGGCCTGTGCGGTGGCACCACAAGCCACAGGGGGTAGCAGCTGGTAAAGGCCCCTGGGAACCAGCGGTCACACCCTTTGGGGCCTGCTGGGTGCTGCGTGCCCATCCTCCCACCTGCCCCGACTGCAGGGGGTCCCAGGGTGGGCGGCAGGGGCTGGGCCAGCGCCCATGGCATCCACGGGCCACTTGCCCTCCTGGTCCCGCCCCGTCCCTCTCTCCTTAAGGGAGTAGTAAATGCCGAGGGTGGGCGCCGGGCCACACCCAGGGGGACCGGCCAGAGGCTCCCGGGGGCTCTGGACCCGTCTCCCCGCCCACAGAGCTGCATCCGCCTGGCCCGCGGGAGCCTGGCCCTCGGGCTGAGCGGGGCCTGAGCCGGAAAGAAGGACGCACAGTGCCTCATAGTGGCGCCATTTTCCTGGGCCTGAGAAAATGCCCCTGAGGGGCGTGGGGGCAGGGTGTCACCTGCATGGGGGGCTCCCTGCGGGCCCAGGGCATCGCACAGCGCATCTCATCCAGGTTCGCCTTCAGCAGCAGCTCCTAGGGGGCCAACGAGCGGCTCAGCCCCACTGGCCACTACCCTGTGCATGGCCCAAGGGATGAAGGTGCAAAGCCAGCTCCGTCCTCCCCCTCCTCCCTCTCCTCCTCCTCCTGCTCCCTCTCCCCTTCCTCCTCCTACTTCACTTCCTCCTTCTCTTTCTCTTCCTCCTCCTCCTCCTCCTGCTCCCTCTCCCCTTCCTCCTCCTACTTCACTTCCTCCTTCTCTTTCTCTTCCTCCTCCTCCTCCTCCTGCTCCCTCTCCCCTTCCTCCTCCTACTTCACTTCCTCCTTCTCTTTCTCTTCCTCCTCCTCCTCCTCCTGCTCCCTCTCCCCTTCCTCCTCCTACTTCACTTCCTCCTTCTCCTTCTCTTCCTCCTCCTCCCCCTCCTGCTTCCTCTCCCTTCCTCCTCCTCCTTCTCTTCCTCCTCCTCTTCCTCGTCCTGCTCCCTCTCCCCTTTCTCCTCCTTTTCCTCCTCCTCCTCCTTCTCCTGCTCCCTCTCTCCTTCCTCCTCCTTCTCCTCCTCCTCTCTGCCTCTCCAGGAAGGCTGGGGTCCCCTGTGGCTGCTCACCTCCGCCTTTCGGCGATTGTAACTCTTGGTCATTTCCAGCACCTGCGGCTCCCTGGGTGACTGGTAGGTGCTCCTGGGGACCTGGTGGGTGGGGGAAGGAAGAGCCACAGTCAGAGGCTGCAGGTGAGGGTGTGCGGATGGGCAGGGCCCCGGGTGGTGGGTGAGGGTGGGCTGTGGTCCCCACCCAGGAGGGGGGGCTGGAAGGGAGGCCTTGGGGCTACGCTGGGACTGTGGGTGCTGGCAGTCATCTGGGGAGGGAAGGACAGGCCGGCAGCAGGAAGGAAGGTGGCCCGGGCCCCGGAGGGACAGGCAGAGGACTCCTGACAGGGTGGGGTGATAGGCGAGGCCAGGAGTGTCATGGGCTCCATGAGCTGCCGGCAAAGGGCAGGGGCCCAGCACGGACACAGAGAGAGCAGGGCAGCCCAAGACCAGCCATGGGACCCTCAGCGGCCCGAGGGAGCAGTGTCCTAGAGGGGCAGACCCCGGGCTCCAGCCTCTGACTCCGTCCTCTCTCCTGCGCTTTGAGCAGGCGGGAGAACTCATCCTGTCCAAACCTCCAACCTCCTCCTCCCCCCACACCCCCTCCCAGCCTGACCCTGACGCGGCCCATTCCGGCCCCCATGGTCTCGGGGTCCTCCTCGTTGGCCCCCAGCACCTCTCTGTCTCCGGCACCATTGCAAAAGCAGTCGGATGCTTCAAGATCCCAGCCACCGCCTCTCACCCTCGCCTTTGCCGCGGCAGCCAGATGGACCGGGAGCCTGTCCTGCCTCGGGGTGTCTGCCCCCAGTCCTCTCCCGTCCCTCCTTCCCCTCCTGCCTCCCGTGTGGGAGGGAGGCACTGCCCCAGGGCCTGTGTCTGTGCTGCCTCCTTCTGCAATGCTCTTCCCCAGAC